TCCGATCCAATTCTAAAGCTTGCTTCCTCCATTTTATGAACTCGACCCGTTTCTCTTCGTTCATCTGTTCATCCCATGATTTATTCTCCTTCCAAGCATCTTGAACCATCTTCTTAATCTTGATTGTAGCTGGACAGGTAAATTGAATCAGATCAAAAATGCGATGGCAGGCTCACAAGATACTTCTCTTTGTGATTGAATTTTCTTCATCTATATTTTTCAATGACTGCACATTAATGGCAATAGTGTCAGTCTGAAGGTGCCATTTCATACCCAAAATAGAGGCTGGATCTTGTTCTGTGATTCCAGGTTCATTCCACATCCAGTCTCGTAACTCAAATTTGGCTTGCATCATGATGTCGGAGGATTCCTTGATAATTTTTTTGACATCATGTGTAGATGACAAACTAAGAATGCAGTTGTCAACGTAAAAACTTCGGGCAAGAAGTTCTGCGCACCTATTATCTTGAAACTGCGGCAGGCTCAAATGATACTTAATGGTTGCAGCTAGCAGAAAAGGACTTGAGGTAAGGCCAAAGACTACTCGGCAATGCCTGTAAAATTTTAGTGTCTTCTGGTCCTTTTTCCACCAAAGGAACCGAAGGAATTCACGATCTTCTTCTCGAACCTGAATCTGGAGAAAAGCTTTTCGCATGTCTGCAATGATGCCATACTTTCCAAGTCTAAACCGCAAGAGCAAATTAGGAATGAGCTCAATCAGGTTGTCTCCTTTTTCCAGACATTGATTTAATTATGGGAGCCCCTTTTTCTTGCAACTTGCGTCGAATACCGGACGAATAGGAGTGGTGTGACTATCCTTGAGCACTGGGCGATGAGGAAGATAACTGCACTCCTGCCATTTATCCTCAACTTCCTCGATGAATCTCTCTTTTTCCCACTCCTCAAAAATAGTATCATACTTCTCATACAGCATCTTGCCCTGGACATTCCTTGTTGTAGTCAGCAATCTATTTTCTGTAGTTCGGCGATTGACCGGAATTGGTGGATGTCCAGCTATCCATGGTAGTGACACGATGTACCTTCCGCTTTCGTCTCGTTTCACAGTCTCCTTGAAATGAGTGTTGGAGGCTTCGATTAAATCTTTCCTAGATTTTGTTTCTGCTGCATCCATGATGCCAAGCACATCTAATTTCCATAAATCCTGAACGTCGAAACTGTTAACGTGAAATGAAGTCACGATCAGGCATGAATCTTCCATGTCTTTCCCTATTGCTGGTCCCATTACTGTCTACCCCAACTTGGTTTCTGTTGCCACAACTCCATTTTGCAATATTTGCATTCTGCCTGTCAGAATGCTGCTAAGCAAGTCTGAACCAATCAACATGTGGATTGATATCTCTTCACCTTGGCATATGTCAGTCAAGTTGATCCCTCGAGCTTTTAACTCATTGAGTATAGTATGATCCGGTACTTGACTGATGTGTCCGCAAATTACTTCCTGATCCAAGAATTTGAGATCATCCATGTATTCTTTGTTGAGGCTGGAAACGTTTACTTTGTACACATTGTGCTTCTTTTGACGAATTTCTCCGCCTCCAAACAGATTGTGGGTAAGTGTAACTTGCTGCACTCTCTTTAGGCCCAGTGCGTCCACCATTCTCTTTGAAATATAGGACCGCTGGGATCCACAGTCAAGCAACACTCGTACATTATGCTTCCCCTTTGGTCCGCTTATCTTGACTATCAGAGTTTGTAGATAGACTCCTCCCACGGTAGCGTTGTCTAAAGTTGTTGACGTGAATTGATTGGCGGTTCTTGCTTTGTTGCAGGACTTTCTCTTGAAACCTTTAGTTCCGCTTTTTAGAGATGAGAAGTCTTCTGGACTTCCAAATTAGGACACATAATGGGGTAATGCTTCCCTCCGCAGACAGGACAACGTGGCTTAATCCGGCATTTCTTGAATCCGTGGCCAGGAAGCAGGCACCAAAAACAAACATTCTTCCCTTTAGCCTTATCTTTCTTCTCTGGTAGATGCATCCGCTGTCCACTGTAGCATTCTTGACTCGGGTGACCATTTCCACAAAAGATGCAGTTGTTTCGCATCTGAGTGGTGTTGGCGAGGTCAGTAGCCGTCGGCATTTTACTTCCAGTATTCTTCTTAGAAAGAGATTTCCTGTTTGATCGATCATCCTTCGCATCTTGATTGTTGTCGATCTTGAACGCTGCTTTGGCCATATTCAATCGACTCTCGCCCTTCACTTCTGTCTTCAAAAACGTCATGAGGTGTGTCAACTTATCCTTCACACCTCTTCCGCTCACCGTATATTGACTTCGTTCCCATACAAAAGGGTGTCCTCTGGTAGCGCTGATTCGACGAGTGGGTACAGCATAGCCGCAAACTTGTCACGAGCGACGCCCAATGTTTCTAATGCTCGTAGTTGTGTCTCCAGTCTATCGTAAAGCTTCACTACAGACATCTTACCTTCGGCTCTCACATTCTGAAGCACATTCTGAAGCAGGTCACGTACATAAATCTCAACAAGCATTTCATCCTCTCCAAAACGTGATTTGATATACTCGATGACTTTAGGGTAGTTGTCGGCACTCGGTGGAAAACTTTCGACTGCTTCTCTTGCCTCGGAGTTCTCGGCGGTGGCTTGAAAGATATACTGAAACTTAGTTTCTGGAGGCATCTGTGGATCCCGGTCAATCGTGCTGAACTGACTCCAGAATGTAATCCATTCTCTTGGTTCTCCCCCAAACTTCTTGAACTCCAGCTTCGGTAGTCGATAGTTCATTGCTGCTGTGCCGCTGATTGTACTAACGTCATCCTTTTCCGCAAGAGCCTCGTAATCAGTCATAATGTTACTAAAATCATCTTCGTACTCACAAACGGATTCATACTCGGCAGTGAAAATGTCTTCAGACGCTGATTCTCGTAGCAGAGCTTCTTCCATCCTCATGTTCAATATTGAAAGCTTTTCATGGTGGGTCTGGAGTCGGCGGAGGATTTTCTCTACATCTGCTTTCTTGACTTCCTTCTTCTTGATCTCTGTTTCGAGCTCATTGAACGCCTTGGTGAACCTTGCACGCACTGGCGTCCTAAGCTTTTTCAGTTCAGCACTACTAACTGGTTGGTCAGCCATCCTGAGAAGTAATCACTGGTTCACAGTTGCACCTTTGTGTAATCAGTAATTCTTCAATCTGTATCCTGTCGGCTGCGCCAGAATGTTGTCTTGTCTTAAATTTGAAAAAAAAAGACAATACAAGGTCCCGATGGCTTAACCTGAACTAAAAGCTCCCAGCTTTACAGTAATGCTGGAAACTGACTTGAAAAATTATAAATTGATAAATCAATATCTTTGTTGCAGTGATCAGAAGAATTGAGTCACAACGCTGGATGGCGAGGCCTAAAGTAGAAAACAGTGATGAATAATTTAATACTTATTGAAAGAAATATTTATTTAAAAATCACACAAATTAATATTAATACAAATATTATTCAAAACCAATTATTAAAATTTATGAGAGATAGTTCTTTTTCAGGCCTGTCAAAACCAAACGTTGGCGTCGAGACAGCTTTGTTTACCGGAGATGCGGGGTATTCTTTTTTGCTCGCGCATGCGCGGGGGGCAGCGGGTGCAGTGTTGCCAGCGTTCGGTTGGCCCAAAAGTACCTATGGTCGCGTCACTATGAGCATTAGATTTTAGGACGGTAGAATTAAAGGCAAATATTTGCATCCAGCAATGCTCTACCGCAAACAATAAGGACAAGACCAGTTATACATAAATCAATTATAAAACAATTACACGCCATATAAGAACTATTTAGCATGAATGTTTCTTGTACAAATAAGCCAAACTTTCTGATGTTCTTACTACGATTTATTGTGTATAGGTGGTACGCTAATTTATGCCTAATTGGCCTTGTTCTTATTGTTTAAGGAATAGAATTGCTCAATGCAAATATTTGTGTGAAAATTAATTAATCCTAAAAGCTTATGTGTGTGTCCAAAGTTTTATTAAATACCATTACTAATAGTATATCTTGGATATGAAAGAAAAATCGTCCAATACAGTATTATATCTATAAAGGGCGGTCTGGTTGATTAAATTGGCTAAACCTCGGGGAGGGTTCACCACTGATGAGCCAAGCTCTTCCATTAATTTTCATCGCAATAAGAACAATAGAAAGTTCGTTTTATTTGTAAAAGAAAAACATTAGTGCTAAATTGATTTATTTGTAAATATATTCCTTTTTTTCGCATTTTTCTGAAACTATAATATTTATGCAAGATTATTTTTTTCAATAATAAAGATAATTATGTGATTTAACATATCATGTGAATTCTAATACTTATTTTATAAAAATACATTGAATTAATTATTTTGAAAATAGAGCAATTCATACTTAAATCAATAGATAATAAAAAGGTAGATATTGGCAAATAAATATTTTCAATCAATCCAATATATGCCTTTTATTATATAACTAGAATAATGACCTCCAGGTTTATCCCGAGTGCACATATAGAATAAAAATCTGTTTTAAATAAAAACCCTACAATATGTCTACCTCATCTTTAAGTATGCATACCACGTCTGTACAATATGTCTACCACGTCTCTACAATATATCTATTACATCTCTACAATATGTTTAATGCACATCTCTACAATATATCACATCTGTACAATATGTCTACCACATCTCTAGAATATGTCCAACACATCTCTAATATATATATCACATCTCTACAATATGTCCAACACATATCTACAATATTACTACCACATCTCTAATATATGTCTATCATATCTATACAATATGTCTAACACTCTCTATAATATGTCTACCATGTCTCTACAATATGTCTACCACGTCTTTACGATATGTCTACCACATCTGTGCAATATGTCTAATATATTTATCTAAATAACACACAATCAAATATTTGTTTAAAAAATATATAGGCCAATTATTTTTATTGATAAAAAGATAAAATAATCTTTATATTGAATTTTGAATTAAAACTATTAAGGTGAAATAGCTCAGTTGGGAAAGCGTTAGACTGGAAATCTAAAATTATCTGATTCAAAGCCAGGTTTTGTCTTTTTTTTTAAATAAAGGATTATTGAGTTATATCATCCTGGACAGACTGCGTGACTGATCACCAAGGTAAATATCTAAAAGATAAAATGGTTATGTAACTCCTATTTTTCTTACCATTTACTCATTTTTGTTTATTTGAAAGAAGAACATTATACGCAATATTTAATTTAATGGAAAAAGGGGTTCGTGCCATGAGAGAACTATTTTGGAGTAAAGCGAAAGTTGGACTAGCCAAGAAGTCTTTTATATACCTATAACTTTATATTATTCATTTTGTTATACTTTTAAAGAGAAAATATTTCTGAATTAGAAATATTTATAGGGAATTTATCTGCAATTGAAAGATGTACTTTCTAAATGGCCATATTTTGTATTGAGAATAAATCCATTTTAAAATTAGAGTCTGAGAGGGAGAGAGAAACTGAAGGAGGGAGTGTGTTATCTATTATCATAAAAAAAACACTAGAAACATTTATGAAAATCTTGGGCTTTTTTCAACAAAACATATAACATGTATTTTTATTATCTGATAAATTAACCCCGTCTATAAAATTATGTTTAAAAATATGTTCTATGACTAGCGAGAAAGCCTTCTCCTGAAAACCCTTCTACAGAAGGACAAGTTAAAATTAAATGATAAATAATAAGAGGGTAATAGAATAAATATAATATACTAGCTGATTGACCCTGGCAACGCCCCAGGTTTGTGATTAAATGTTTTTATTCAAATACTATTTGTAACAATTATAAATTGGCGCCGTGGATGCCACTCTTGTGAAACGTCACACTCCAAACTTTGCGTGTTTTTAAAATATAAAAATAAAATGTAAATTTCCACATCGATATTTGAAAATTGTATTATTTTGATTTTTATATGAATACTAGCCGAGTGACCCGGGCAACGCCCCGGGTTTACCCTAATTAAGTATAGATAGTGGCTTGAAATTGAAATAGGTATATTTTAATTTATTAGAAGTAGCATTTCAAGAAAGGTTAAATAAAATTATTCCTAAGCACAGTATATACATTTGTGCACATCTGGTGGAAATTATCATTTATAGACGAATGACCCGGCTTCGCCCGGGAATTCCCCCGAGTGCAATTTCCTTCATACTGAAAGAACATTGCTAATAAATAGTATTAGAGCCATAGAATAGCAACACCGAAGTAATACATAGTTCAAATAGTTGGCAGATTTTCCACCCAACCTCCGAGGTACCCGCCCCAGCGTGTTAACTCTTATATATAGTGGTGCATCCTCTGTAGGTCTATTACACTCTTTGGGTAAAAAAGGGATAAGGATTGAAATTGCTTGAGAAGAGTGACCGTGATTGACCAAGCCTAGCCAGCAGCCTGTAATCTAATGTTTTCAGACCCCAGTCAAACATTCGTAGATGTTTTTCTGAAAAATAATTAAAAAAAAAAAACTAATATTAATATAAATCATAATAATCTGCAACTGTCCTTGAATATTCTAATTCTAGAGATTTTACCTTTCAAATATATACTTTTATAGAGAGAATTATGAAAATAAGATACCACTCAAAAACAACAAAAAAAAAGAGACTAAAATAGCATTAAAAAAAAAAATATTCATGACAACACAGAAGAATACACAAAATTTGAAGTTTTATTTTCTGGAGCCAAAAAATAAATATTTCTTCCTGAGCCAACTCTAGAGCAGGCAACATACAATTGCCCATGCGAGAAACAGGGTTGCCCCAAGTCAATGCCAGCAATTTTGAGGGAGTGACCTTGAGCCTTGTTAATCGACATGGCAAAAGAAACTTGAATGGGGAACTGCAATCTTTTAAAATGCAAAGGAGAATGTTTATCATCATGAATCAGAGGAATCCGGGGAATAAAAACCTCTTCATTTTGAAAACAACCAGTTAAAATGGTTGCCTCTACCACATGAGGCCACAATCTTTTAACACAGAGACGGGTACCATTGCAAAGGCGGGGTGCATCAATATTTTGTCATTAAATATATACGTATATAGAAAGAATTATGAAAATAATATACCACTCAAACAACAAAAAAAAAAAGACTAAAATAGCATTAAAAAAAAAATTATTCATGACAACACAGAAGAATACACAAAATTTGAAGTCTTATTTTGTGGAGACAAAACATAAAGATTTCTTCCTGAGCCAACTCTGGAGCAGGCAACATACAATTGCCCATGCGAGAAACAGGGTTGCTCCAAGTCAATGCCAGCAATTTTGAGGGACTGACCTTGAGCCTTGTTAATCGACATGGCAAAAGAAACGCGAATGGGGAACTGCAATCTTTTAAAATGCAAAGGAGAATGTTTATCATCATGAATCAGAGGAATCCGGGGAATAAAAACCTCTTCATTTTGAAAACAACCAGTTAAAATGGTTGCCTCTACCACATGAGGCCACAATCTTTTAACACAGAGACGGGTACCATTGCAAAGGCGGGGTGCATCAATATTTCTCAATAAAATAATGGGAACACCAACTCGAAGTTCTAAGTGATGTGGTGGCATCCCAGAAGGTTCTAAAGAATTTAAAAACTCTGTTGTATATTCCACGCAATCCTCAGCATCAATTGTGGAATCCACAGAAGTATATAAAATGCTTTGCCCTGGTATTTCTTTCAAAAGCTGAGCATTTATGGCATCAACTACACAATTCCTTGGAGCCAAAATTGCCCGCTCACAAAGCCAAGGATAGTAATTCGCCCTTCCCCGGTTAAACATCTCCCCAATGTTAGGAAAAACACTATTCTTTAGGCCAGAGAGGGAGTCAACAGTGTTAACCAATTCATTTGAAAAATTAACATTACCATCCGTATCATTAAGTTGGCCACTTCCAAGTTGAAGCAAAAATTGTGAAAATAACAGTGAGTTGGGATCTCCTGAATTGACAGCCCGCATATTTGTTGAAAGAGTAAGTCTTTCAACAAATGACCAAAGTGGGGATGCCTTTAAGCAAGCATGCAACTCATCTGCTATTGTACCTCTAGGGATAATGGGCAATATCTGCCTGAAGTCACCGGCCAACAACAACACTACACCTCCCATTGGTCTCTGATCCTGCCTACAATCTTTAAGTGTTATGTCAACTGCCTCTAAAGCATGCCTGTGTGCCATAGTACATTCATCCCAGACAATAAATTTGCATTGTCTAAGAACTTCACCCATTGCGGAATCAGCATTCAAATTACAAACTGGTACCTCATCCCTGGTCAAATCTAAGGGTAATTTGAAAGTGGAATGAGCAGTTCTGCCACCATGCAACAGAGTGGCCGCAATACCAGAAGAAGCTGTAGAAAGAGCAATGTCCCCAGTACTTCGTACCTTTGTAAGAAGAAGATTGATCAGAAAAGTTTTTCCTTTGCCCCCCGGAGCATCAAGAAAGTACAATCCGCCAGCATTGGAATCAATTTTAGAAAGGATCCTATCGTAAGCCTCCTTTTGTTCAGGGACATTGGCAAGTTTCGGTTCATTCGAAGCCACAAATTGTAGTAACCTGCTGAGATCATACGATGTTTCTCTTAAAAGTTCATGACTGGTTCGGTGAGTAACATTGTGCTGTGGGGACCTCATGCCAAACTTTGTCAAATGGAAACCAGTCATTTGCAGAACTTTTTGTTCTAAAAGTATTAAAGCCTGATTTGACATTTCGGATGTCAGCTGTAAAAGACCGTCATTGGCTTGCTGTCTGGCAAGATTCAGAATATCTGCAGACATTGGTTCTTTAAATTGTGCCCAGATATCTTGAGGGTTGGTAGGGTGGCAGCAGGTAAGAATAATAGCAAAAAGTTCCCGGATTTTTAAAGGAGACTCACTTAGCACTGCTTCCTGAATACAATGATGCCATTGCTGGTCATTCTCAAGCAACCCCAAATGCATACATGCCTCTTTATATGTTTGACAGAGCACACCATTGATTGTTCTGAGGGCTGCAAAAGAAGTCGGACCACGAACACTATGAAGCAGCATGCGAAGATAAAAACATTCCTCAAAATTTGGATGAACGGTGTAGACTCTGCCAATAGCATCAGAAGCAAAAGCAACTTGGTCAGCAATGCGAGTGCCTTGTTTTCGAGGCTGCCATGATTTAGTAGCAGACCAAATGTAGTAAACAGGAACTTCAACATAGAGAAGTGTTTTTGCAAAGTTATCGCGCTGGCAAAGGGCAAAAAATTCTGTCAACGTGGTCTTAGGTGGACGGTGAGCCTGTAGTGCAGCATTAGCAGAAGTAAAATATACACGCTGCCCATTTTCCAAGTGTACAGAGAGATGTTGAACCATTGGATGGCGTCTGTGAATAGGGAATCCCAGAATGCGCCAAACAGCTTCATTGCTACTAATATATCGACCATGTTGGTACTCTAGCACTTCATTAGACTCTGTTTGAGCACCACTAACTGCAAAAATTGATTGGTCTGAACCCTTGTATATGTATTTGCAGATATATTTTATAGCAGAGATTGAAGCACAGGACTCCACATTGATGTGAGCATCAAATAGTCTGCATAGAAGAGGCGAATATGGCACAACATACCTATTATCAATGGTAACATCAGTCATGCGCACAACCTGAACACCATTCTCAATGGTGAAAACTCTCACTCTTTTAACAAAAGAAAAGCCACCTTCCTCAGGCCTGCGACGTCTGTACAATGGGTAGCCATCCCTATCTGTCTGCGTTTCAGCCAAGAGCCAACAAATGGACATAAGGATTATGTTGATGCAACATATCTTGCAAAATGCTAACAATGTGGGGCTTAGTGATAGGAAAGTTTCTATGGCGGGTGGCAACCTCTGCACTACTATCTCCGATGAAGAAAACCTGAAGGAATGCTGGCTGTAGTTGGCGGCTATCAGAGTCGAGTGGTGGCAAAACAGAGCCAATTCTATGATAGACCTGGCCTTGGACCGTAAACGTTGGCATGTAACCTGGCAACACAACACGACTACCACACCCAAAAGATGTCATTTGGAAGGCATTGTTATAGTGACGGAT